TCTGCTTTTCTTTTGACAAAATCACAGGTCAGTTAACTCAGACAATTTGAGGAAGTGGAAGAGAAAGGGCTTTGAAAAGCCTAGTGCCTGGAACAAAGCTGCTTAGGCACAGGGACAGTGGGTGACTGAGGTATCCACAGTGGGAACACCAGCTCCTGGAGGCTGGGATGACACCAGGAGGCAGCAGACCAAAAAGTGACCTGGATGTGCCAGCTTGGAACAAAAGAAACCTGAGCTACATTCACACAAAGTGGTCTAATGAGCCATCTACATCACACACACACACACACACACACACACACACACGGGTTGGGGGGCACTATGAGGAAATACCAGACAATGCCATAGCCCTGAACTCCTCCTGACTCATAGCTCTGAACTGCCTGGTAACATTCACTTGTACTGGCTTCTTGGAGATGAAAATGTGCCAAAGAGAAATAGAGTCACTTTGCCCAGGTAGAGTATTTATTTATTTTAAAGAGCCATTCCTGTTCTGTTCCTTAGCTTTCATCCCTGGTGAGTTGAGCACCTACTCTGTGCAGATGGGGTCACAGCAGCAAGGCCATCTTAGACTAGCCTGGGATTTGGGCACATGGAGCCTGCATCCTCTGTATTATGCTTTGCAATTGGGGGCATTTTCTTTCTGTTTTCAACTTTTCCTGGGCTGATATTAGAGCTAGGCTCACAATAAGAAGGGATAGGCCAGTTAATATCCTTTTAGAGCAAGTTGACCTTCTGGGGGTTTGTGCCAGAGCCACAGCCCAGGAGGTAACTGGGCCTGTGTGGGCTGCAAAAGTGCTTTCTGTTGGGGTGAGTTGGCTCTAGCCGGTGAGCACAAATTCACATAGAAAGGCTTGGGAAGGCCTAAAGCAAATGTTTGAATAGCAGTAAAGTCTCAGGTGGAAGTCTAAAGACAACAGAAAGCACACTATTTTATATACACACATTTCCTCTTAAGTCTTGCGTGAATTGTTCAGAGTGAGGATGTATCTTTATATTACCGGTGTGCATTTAATTCTAAAAACAAAAATGAAAAAAGGCTATGACAAGGGGTCCAATTGTTAAAAAAAATAACAAAGGCCTGAATTTTGAAACTGATGAGGGTGAAAGTTCTTTTATGCTTTAAATATCCGAAGTGCTTTTGTACAAAAGGAAAGCAGAGGTAGGCACGGTGGCACATGCCTGTAATCCCAACACTCAGGAGCGGAGGTAGGAGGATTGCAAGTTCCAGGCTAGACTGAGCTACTACTGAGACCTTGTCTCAGAAAAAGATGGAGGAGGAGGGGGAGGAGGAAGAGGGGGGAGGAGAGAGAAGGAGAGAAGGGAGAAGGACATGAGGGGGAGGGGAAGGGAGGAGGGGTGACCTGTCTATCTGTGTGGCTCTGCACAGCCGTCCTCTGAGGCATGCGGCTGCATTTACTCTTTCTATTACCTTCAGAAGGCAGAAGGACAGATGGTGACCTGCATGTGGTCCCCCAACCAGGCAGCAACCAACCAGGACCATGAGGGCCTCTCCCAACCCACAGCCTGCAGTCTCTACCAACCATAGCTTCCCCCAAATTCTGCTAATCTCTATCATCCTTCTGCAGACACCATATGCCTTAATCCAGGCAAACAGCCTGGGACCACAGCAGTTACCAAGATGGATCTCAGAGAGGGAGGCTGTGGCCAGGGAAGAATCTCAAAGCCAGGCCTTCCCAAAGTACACATTCCTCTTGCCTTGGTGCACAGCTGGGATATAGTGAGGGGACCCTCGAAGCCATGATGAAGCACAGGGCTTTGGCAGAGCCCTACAAGCCAGACTGCAGCCTGTGAAGGAGGTCTGGCTTCCCCAGTAAACTGTCTCTTGACATCTTCTGACTTCGGGGTGGCTGTACTGAAGTGGGGGTACTTAGGCAGAAGGGGATTGGGGAATGGAAGGGTTTAAGTGGCCTAAAGATGAGTGGGACACATCAGGTGACACACGAGTAGTTACCTGAACCTCAGTGGCCCACTCCTAGGCTGCTGATGGCTGCTGTGCTCTATGGAGCAAGAGTGAGAGCCAAGGGCCTCAGACTGTGCTCAGCCTGGAGTGGTAAGCCAAGAAAGGAATGAAACCTTCCATCTGCCTGCTTAGAGTCAGCATTTTCCTGTCCTCACTTGAGGGGCTCAACTGCCCAGTAGTTGTGTGAGCCTGGTCCCTCTGTGGTAAGAGCAGGGAAAAGACAGTCCAAAGGCCAGAGGCCAACCCCTGACAGGTTCTTGGCTGTAAGCCCTGGTGTTCACTGCCCAAATCAGTTCTCCGCTCCTCTGCCATTCAACAGAAGCCCAGTTACATAGGGCATAACATTCCCTTCACTGTTTGAACACACACAACATAGACAATGGTGATCCTGGAAGGTGACATCACTTAGGTGCATTATAACCATTGCAGTCTGCCAGCATATGCAGGGATGCTTGCACAGCAGCAACACGGCCTCTTAATAGCATTTCTTAGCCAAATCCCTGTCACTTAAGTGATGCAAGATGTAACTGTACTCTCCTCCCAGCCCAAACAGACAAAGGGATGGTCCCTAAAAGAGCAAATGGACAATGCTTGCACTCATGTGGTTCAGATAGTCTCAAGTTACAGGCGCAGTGTGACCAGGACAATGACATGGGTCTGTCCGTTTAGACATATTCTTAACAACCCTGTTTTACTGAAAACACTGGAACCTATTCCCAAGAATGGAAATGGCACCAGAGCTGAGTCTACAGAGCTGCAGATGGACCATATGGGGCAGAGGAGCTGAGCTCTAGCCTAGGATAGCCCACCAGCATGCCTACAATGGTGAAAACCTGGTGGAGCCTGCTGAGAAGGCGAGCAGGGCAAAGCCATGACTAGAGCAAGAAGCAGGACCAGGCTGTCGTGGAATATTAGTTTAACTATGTAAAGATGTGTTGCATTTGTTTACGGACTATTTGTTTAACTATGTAAAGATGTGTTGCATTTGTTTACCTTGCCTGCCTAAGGCATCTGATTGGTCTAATAAAAAGTTAACATCCAATAGCTAGGCAGGCAGTATAGGTGGGGCTTCCAGGCAGAAAGAAGTAGGAGGAATCTAAGCTCAACAGAGGCAGAGGGAGACAGAGGGAGAGAGGGAGAGCCAAGGGCCAGCCAGACCGACAGACACAGAGGAAATAGGAAAGCAGGACACACAGAATGAGAGAAAGGTAAAAAGCCCCGAGGCAAAATATAGATGAAGAGAAACAGGTTAAATTGAGTTATAAGAGCTAAAGGCTGAGCTTTCATAGCTAATAATAAGTCTCTGTGTCTTTATTTGGGAGCTGGTTGGCGACCCAAAGAAAATTCCAACTACACCAGGCTCCATGGGGGCCCACATGGCTTTACTGAAAGTCTCCTCTCTTTTCTGTCTCCTCAAGCTCTCGGTGGGTGTAAGCCATTCTGAAAACATTGGCCCTATGCTCTCCCTTTGGCCCATTGCACTTGAGGTACCAATCCACTGTCCCTCCTGTGGTGGGCAAGAGCCTTCTCATTAGGAGCTCATGTTTCATGTCTGACCTTAGATACAATCTTGAGGACATTCATTTTCATTCTCCCAGCTTTCTCCTAGTGTGTGTGGGGCGGGGGGCTGTGTGCGTCTCCCTCCAAACTTTGCTACTTTCCCTCCAATCTTTGCGGTCCTTCCTTCCTGTTGCCTTTGCAGGCTTCTGCTAGAATCCACCGCCCCAGGCCCTGGAAGGTCCATCCTTGACTCCTCTCCTCACACCTGAGGTCCTTAGCCAGAGGATGACATCAGCTCTATAGCTACTCCTACTGATCACTGGAAATGCTAAGCCAACCCCCATCCACTTACTGGGTTTCAACGATAATGGCCAGCAATGAGGTAGCTCCGCGTTCCAGGGCCCTGCTCCTCAAGGACAACCCAGGCCCAGCTCAAATTGATCATTTTGTCCCCAGCCCTGACCCCTTTCCCATAGCTCCCATTCTAGAGACTGTTCCCTTATTCTCCCAGCTGTTCTGGTCACTCTAGACAACCAATTAGTCCTTAATGTCTTGTTCTTCTCTTCTTTAGTTCCACTGCAACCATGATTTACAATGTCCATAATGTCTCAGTGAAATCCCTTCAATGATCAGTGTGTCCATACTCTATTTCTTTATACTCTTTTTTTTTTTAAAAAAAATGGTTATTATTTATTAATATAATCAAGACAAAAATAAAATGTAATTTAAAAATACTCTCCGTGAAAATGGCTTGCTTTGTTCATGGTTGTTTAGCACTGTGGGTACACCAGACCATATACAACTAGACTTTGAATATGTTCCCACTTCTCACACTCATGTGTTATCACTGGGGCCACCCAGCACACTCAATGGAACAAAGAGTTTTCAGTTGGCATAGCAGGAACAGAGAGAGGAATCTGAGATGCAAAGGTCAAGGTTCCACTTCTTTTAATAAGCTGTGGGCTGTGTACAGGTTACTTCATTTCTGAGCCTCGGTTTCTGCCATGCAGATGTGGCCATCTGTGTACAACCCATAGATGATCAGTCAGTCATCTTAGGTGACAATGACCTAGTATGATTTTCTCTAAGTCAGTCATCTTAGGTGACAATGACCTAGCATGATTTTCTCTAAGAGTCAATACGGAACAAAGGCTGGAGAGAGAAAACCAATTTATACCGGTTCCTTCAAGAACCCAACTCTAAAAATATGCCCTCCCTTCTGGTCCACTGCCTCTTTTCTTTAAATCTTCCATTTTGTTTTTCCCAGGTTGCTAGCCACTTTACGAGGCCCAGTCACATCTCCCTTGTCATGTTTCCTCCACATTTATGGCCCCTCTCTTCAAAGAGTGGTCTTAAAGGGGACACAGCCAGGGGACAATGGCTTATCAAGGGTTAACGCTACAGTCAAATCTGGAACCCGCTTTAGAAAGTAATGCTATACGGACACAATGTTTCTACAAAAAGGAAAATAAAGGGGCCACATGGGTTCTGGGCTGGGGGTCAGGAAGAGACTCACCTTTACACTGCAGGCCCTGCCGCAAGAGGCCCCAGAGCAGGGACCCACAGTGGTCACAGAATGTGGGGACCTTGTAGTTGTGGATCCCGAACTTGTGGGGCATGTTAACACTGAACCGTTGGGAGCCCACCTGCAGGGATAGGAAGACACAGCATCAGCACTCAGGAAGACACAGCATCAGTGCCCAGGAAGACACAAACAGCATCAGCCCCCAGGAAGACATAGCATCAGCATCCTTAAAGACACAGCATCAGCACCAGGAAGACGCAGCATCAGCACCAGGAAGACGCAGCATCAGCATGCAGCTCCTCAAGGAAGCTCGCTGCTCCCTGGATTCCTAGATGGATTCTTAGAGAATCCTATTCTCTGAAGGCACATGTCATTGCAGGCCCCTGAAGGGAACCTCTCCTCCAGCCCAGCTTTCACTTTCAAAGTTGTCCTAATTCACAGGCAAGAGGAGACTGCTTCCCACGCATGCCCCTCCAAGACATCAGCCCTCTATACAACCACAACACACATTTTGCAGTGAGCACCTCACACTGAAGTTACTCACAAGACGTCATTGTGTGCTGTCAGCACTGCTTTGTGCACAGAGGTCTAGCTGGGGAGAGAGAAGCCTCCAGTAGCTGAGCATCCCATAAAGTAACTCGTGACTGCAGCATGGTATGGAAGATGAAGATGCCTGATAGAGCGGTGGCCACAGGTGGCCACCATTGCCTTCAACTCTACCACCACCATACGGAGTGGGCTACGTTTCCTCACCTTCACTGACTAGGAAATGAAAGCAGTGTGGGATTCAGGAACACGCCTATAAGTCCAACAGATGCAAAGGCAGGCTTCTGTCCCCACAGCTCGGGGCTCTAATCTACCCTGCTGCTACTTGGCCATTAGTGAGAGGGGAAGGTCAGGATAGACATGGAGAATGTGGGCAGAAACTGAGGTGTTGGGTATGTGGGCTGAGCTCCACCAACAAGCCTCTACTGAGGCCTCACTCAGGTTTCCCGGGACCTCAGATTTCTCATCTGGAAAATAAAGCCATTCTCCCTGCCCCACCTGTCGTAGGAGGGAGGGGTCAGTGAAATAATGGAGGAGAAGAGATGGGGACATGAAGGGTTCTACACAGCCAAGAGTCACCAATCGGCATAGTCTACTTTCCTGGGTCTTCTCAGAACCTTCTAGAGCTATTCCTTGCCTGCCTGGGGAAGCAGCCACATGAACTGGCCCTCCCAGACAGAGCAGGAAACTGTGAGAAGGAAGATGCTGCTCCGACTCTAAGAATCAGGGAGGGGACAGTGTGTAGTGTACCTTGGATCATCACCTGAATGTGGAGCGGAAAGGTCCCCTTGGAGGCCTCAGGAGTAATGACAGCTGGGTACAGACACCGATTAGGGTGTGAATTGCAAGCCATGCCTGTGGAATTCACTGTTACTCAACTCCCAGAAATGGCCAGTCCTCCCATGGAGCCAGAATGCTACTAATATCTCCTTCCTACATGGGCCATCCACTAAAGTCCTGTCAGAGTACAAGTTCTCTAGGTTTATTGAGAACAACTGTGCCCACTCACCTTACAGTTATCAGAGTGTCATGTGTCAACCAGACACTTCCCTTTCTGACTCCTAAGGAGGGATGAGGTCACTGTGCCCACTCTATTCCTACAGCTCTGAAAACACAGTGGACACATAATGAGAAAAGAAGCAACCCACCAGGAATAACTGAATAAAGACATGAATGACAGACTAAGGCGAAGAGGTAGGGAAGCTGGGCCCAGGTGATCAGGAGGCCATTATGGCCTTGGAGACAGCTGTAGGAATCTCAGTTGGGATTAACAAAGACTCCAAGGTACAGAGAGCAGTGAGAAGATGATGAGAGACACATGCAAGATCACACCAGAAGAGAAAACACAAAGACAACACACACACACACACACACACACACACTCCTACTGTGGAGTACACATGAGCAGGATTCTCAGAGAAAACAGAGGAGGAACAGAGCAGAGAGAGAATTGCAAGATTAAAGGAAATGGAAGGAAGGTGGACACAAAGACAGGGTATTCTTGTTTACCACAACAAGGGGCATGCGGACTGTTAGACATGAGACAAGCAGCTGCTCATGGTGGGAAAGAAAAGGTCCAAGAAGTCCATCATCAGAGCCGTTTGTTTTGGTTTGAGACGGAGTCTTCCTATGTGGCCCAAGCTGGCTTCCAGCTTGCTATTAACATAGAGCGTGTTTTAGCAAAGGACACTGGAACTGCAGCGTTTGGGGCTGCAAGTGTTAGTGTGGTGAGCATGCAGATGTGTGCATGCACATTCCTTACACTAAAGAGAGAGACTCAGAGGGATGGACTCAAAGACTAATCGCCCAACAGAGAGAGGTACTCAATGGCCCCAAGAGGATGTTGGCCTCAAGATGCACGAGGCAGTGATGGGGACACCAGGATGAGCAATCCACTCCACCATACTAAGAAACCCCATTCTTGGACCCTGGCCATTCATCTCTGGGGACATAGGCCACATTCAAGAGCATGCCTCATTGGAGACATCACTACTCAATCTGTCAGCAAAGATAGAAGGAAGCATCATGTCCCAGATTACATGGGAACTGTGTGCTTCCAATCTCAGCTCGCTACTCTGCAAAGCCCAGAGTCTTATGGGACATTTCCCTTCCAGGAAGTGAGGGAAGGCTTCAGAAACCTGAGGTTCCCAGATGATGAGACCTGTGAGAACCATGAGGTCTGGATTTATATGCTCTTTGCTTCCACTGGTCGGGGCACAATGCCTGCCACAAAGGAAGTGCCCAGTAAATAGTGAATGGAATGTCCTCAGGAAGGAAGTCGAGCAGAAAATGTACTATCTCCCTCTCCATCATCTTGTGAAAGTAAGGGCAGTGACAATGTCCTGTAGGTTATTATCCTAGGTCAAGGGTCAGGAGAGCCAGCTGCTGGGTTGGACTTTATTTTTCCTTCCTTAGAACAGGGTCTCACGTATCTCAGGCTGGCCTTGAACTCACCATGCAGCCAAGAAGGACCCTGAACTTCTGTCCTCCTGACTGCCTCTTCCTAGTGCTGGGATTACAGGTGCACACCATGTTTGGTAGATGTGACGCCGGGGATTGAACCTGGGGCCTTCTGCATGCTAGACCAACACTCTACCAACTAAGCTATAGTCCAGTCCCTGGTCCCCGATTTGTCACATTCAACTAGGACAGCAGACCTCCTGCAAACAGCTGTGGGGATTTGGTCTCAGTTTATCCTCGGGAGCGGAGACGGCTCCGTTTAAGTCCTGCTCCTTGCTGCTTGCAGAGAGAGGCAAGCCGAAAAGCAAGAGCAGGCACAGAGCTGAGAAGTGCCCCAGATGCGGAACTCCTTCTTTGGCTGACAATTTTTAGGAAGTGGATAGAAGGACTCTGTAAGTCACTTTGGGGAACTCAGATTATAAGATTACTTCATTTTAAACTGGGGTGCCCAGTCCTCCCAGGGTTCCTCTGGCCTGATTCTAGTGACTTGTGGTTATGCAGTACTTACTGCACCTGAATTGAAAGCATACCTTTGAAACTCACTGTCCAGGCACGGACCACCTCTGTTCTTACCATCACACCTGCCATCTCCCTCAGAAAGGTCTTCAACTATCCCGGTTCTTAGAGGAAAACTGGCTCCCTTGTGGAATTTCACATTCCCATAGCACTAGGGGAAAAAGCCAGTCTGACACTGATTTCTAAGCTTAAGAGACAGGGAGTCAAGGCTCACACTCTAAGACAGACCACCTGGGCTAGAACACGGCTCTTTCTCATAGTAGCTAAGTGTCTTGGCTAGGTTTTGTGGCCACTTTGGTGCTCCTAGTCTCTCTGTGCTAAGATGAAGACTTCCTTAAAGTTGCTATGGGGTTAAATAATGTATGTTAAAGTGCTTCTGAGTGAGGGTGTGGTAGGGACGCAGTGACATTATTCCATTCTCTCTCCTAAGTACTTCTTGGGCTGTTCATTCCACTCTGTTTCCGACTGATTACCTCCTTAAGGTACAGCTCCTACTATGTGTTGCGTCTCTTTATTACCTGCACCTGGACACATCACTGCGCCATTGCTGTGTCCCAATGACGTAATGAAACAAGACTCCACATTTCAAAGCCAGGAATAGTAGCATATGCCTTCAACCCCAGCACTCTGGAGGCCGAGGCAGGCAGATTTCTGTGAGTTCAAGACCAGCCTAGTCTACATGGTGAGTTCAAGGACAGCCGGAGATACATAGTAAGACCCTGTCTTGAAAATACATTAATAAATAAATAAGTAAATTTCCACATTTCCCTCATGATCTTAGGCTCTGGGCTCCTACTTCACTCTGGTAAAATCGACTTAGAGTTGTGTTTATTCAATAGATGGTGTTTCAAGCCGGCAGGCAGTGGCCACCCTTCAGTTTTGCTCAGTACAATGAAGACGACCGCAGGAGCTCACAGTGATAAGGTTTCCTTGGGACCACATCAAGGGCAGAGAAGGGAGAGGCTGGTAAGGAAGAAAGCGCAGAATCCCAGTGTTGTAAATATTTACCTCGTCAGGGATTTCCTGTTTCTTTAGCCCGGCACACTTCGTAATAATGAGCTCATGACATCGCTTGTGGACGACGCAAGTGCAAACTGCAAATGATAAAGACATGGGAAGCCCGAGTGAGGAAGCAAGACTGCACCCGAGATTTAATCAGGTCTCGGTGGAGACAATGTCCTAACCTAATCTAACCCTCTCGTCAAGCCTATAATACAGAGTTTCCAAACACTCCCCAACAGGACCACGGGGCTTCCTCAATGCCCCAAAGAAGGAATGGAAGCGATGTTCAAAGGGTGCTGGGAGCTTGGAGAAGGCTGCTCAGCTTTCCAGCTGTTATCCGCCAAGGTCAGGGACCACCCTTCGGCCCAGCTCTCCATGGAGCCCTCTCTATTAAAGGTTCTGTACTGCCCCCCATTTTCCACTCAGGACCATGTCACAATGACTATTTATTTGGGGTCAGGACTGGAGCATATCATACGGGAGTTCTTAGGCTTAAAAAATGTCCGCTTTATGATCACCAAGTGCCAAACTTAAAAATTTCCATGGAATTTAGTAAGTCCACAAAATGTGGCCCTTAGTTCTAACTGCAAGGTCATGGGGCAGTGTTAAGGAGGTAACGGGTCAGCAGTAGTTAAGGGGGTAACTGTCTGCACACATACTGTCCCAAATCATAGCAACCATTAGCAGAACCACCCCCAAGGTCTGCTTGAAGTTAGCCTCTTAAGGGAGACAGCATAGCCTCCCAACTCTTATAAGAGGGAACTCTGGAAATGACCACGTTTCACCTCCGTCTACCAGTATAACCTGACACTGCGCTTGTAGCCAATTAACTAGAGAAATGCAATTGTCAACACCTCAAGTGAGCTGTAAGGGTTTAATAATGACTCCAGAGTCGAAATCACACAAAGAGGATCAGCAAGAGCCACACGGGGCTAGTAAAAAGCCAGTGAGAGAGTGCCTACGGAGAGCCTGAGAAGAGGGAACAGGGAGAACACTCAGACCCAAGCAAGACAGCAGAGTCCAGCGAGCCTCTAATTGAAGTGTTACATCTACTAGGAAAAAAAAAAATCAAAGCATTATCATCTTCTCCTACTGCAGCCAAAATGCTGGGGGGGGGGGGCACTCACTGGGGTGCCAGGAGATGCAGCGCTTCTGTGGTACATATCATACATGTATGTAGGAGTGATGGCTGGGCAGTGACAAAGTAGAGGGGTCACACTTGTTGGAGAGGGAGAACAATGGAACTGTCCAAAGACTCGGCCTAACCTAGCAAGAACCTTCTAGAAGGGGTTATAATCTTACTCTAATCACAGGTTCCAAAAGCTAAGTTCATAAAATGCCACTTACCTTGACACTGGTATCCCTGTTTTCCTATGACACCCCTGAAAGGAAGAAGATGGAATTTTACTAGGTCAGAGAATAAACAGATAAAGCCACCCAGTTCTGGGCACTATCCATGTTGTACTGAGTCCTGTGGAGTCTGCTGAGCGGTGTGACTTCACTGCCACTTGGAGGGGTAAAAATGCCTTCCAGAAGGCCACAGGGACAGCCTCACTTGTGGGGCAGGGACAAGGCCTGCCTGCACTGGGATTTGGTTTCTTGTACAAACACTCATACCAGTGGGGGTAGCAGTGTTCTAGAAATCTACAAATGAGCCTGCTTGCTCTGGACAGAGGCCAGTCAATTAAAACATTTCCCTCCTTGTGGGCATGCCCAGCGAGGGCTCTGTGATGGTAGATAAGGCCTGCCATTGACTGGCATATACCCTGGGCATCCCAAAGCCTGTCAAGAATTATGGGCAGTCTACAGTTAGGACTGAGGACTCCAAATGGTTCAGTTAGTCATTAGTCAGAGGTTCCTTCCACGGCCACAGTAAGGTTCCCCTGGCAAGGTTAGTTAGCTTGGAACTCAGCCAGCCATGTTCCTGTCCTCAGTGTACCTGGAACTCACAGGTGTGCTGGCTAGGTTCACACTGAGACTCCTGCTTGGATATACGGACATGTTACCGAGTGCCCTACAGTCCTCGGGCCTGAAGAAGGAGCCACAAGTCATTTGGGCCATTCCCGGGAACTAGAGCTTGGGGTATTCCCAACAGGCCAAGAGGACGATTCAGCCAGTAAGACCAGGCACTCACCTCATAACCCAAACAGAAACGACAGAGCTGAGACACGGCAAGAAGCCATCTGGGGTGGCTTACCAGATGAAATCTCAGCAGGACAACTGCTTCTGCTTCAGGTGGATTTGTCTAAGCTACGTCACTGCAAGTGGCCATGCCAACCTCAGTGACTTGCTTTGTAACGAAGAGTAACCCCAATGCCTTCTAGAACCCAAGAGTCCCTCAGAAGCCTGATGCAGATGTTCATACGGGAACTTGGCCCCATTGGCTCTCCTCACTGCATCCAAGTGTACTGATTTCTATTCCAGCTTCAAAGACCTCAGAGAATATGCCAGAAAGTCTGCTTCTTCTTATTCTTTAAGATACACAGTGAAATTCATTTTTTTTAGTCAGAATCTAACTTCTGTGAAACACTTAAACCTCAGACCCTCATGCCAGCTGCTTTATTAAGGAAACCTTTACTGTTATTGTCAAATTCTTCAAGGCTGATGATGTCAGCTTCACACTGGGATAAGACTCAAGGAAAGCAATACTCTTTCCTTGCTGAGCTCTGTCTTTTAAACTTTAAAATCAGAGTTCTAAAAAAAGATGGCAAAATTACTACAGATGGGGCGCCTAAGACTAATAATACACAGCACACTTGGACTTTTATTATAGGAATTTCTTCTTTGTTTCAAATTGAAATACAATGCTTCTGTCTCGAAGAACATTACTTCATTCATTATTTGCTTTCATGGGAAAAATCTCTCTCCTCTCTCCCTTTTCTCTCTCCTTTCCTTCCTCTCTTTCTTCTTCCCCCCTCTCCCCCTCTCCCTATTTCCCTCTGGTCACACTGCGTAGCTCTCTATGACCTGGAACTGCTAATGTAGACCAGGCTGGTCCAGAGTTCATAGATTCCTCTGGTCACACTGCGTAGCTCTCTATGACCTGGAACTGCTAATGTAGACCAAGCTGGTCCAGAGTTCATAGATTCCTCTGGTCACACTGCGTAGCTCTCTATGACCTGGAACTGCTAATGTAGACCAAGCTGGTCCAGAGTTCATAGATTCCTCTGGTCACACTGCGTAGCTCTCTATGACCTGGAACTGCTAATGTAGACCAAGCTGGTCCAGAGTTCATAGATTCCTCTGGTCACACTGCGTAGCTCTCTATGACCTGGAACTGCTAATGTAGACCAGGCTGGTCCAGAGTTCATAGATTCCTCTGGTCACACTGCGTAGCTCTCTATGACCTGGAACTGCTAATGTAGACCAGGCTGGTCCAGAGTTCATAGATTCCTCTGGTCACACTGCGTAGCTCTCTATGACCTGGAACTGCTAATGTAGACCAAGCTGGTCCAGAGTTCATAGATTCCTCTGGTTACACTGCATAGCTCTCTATGACCTGGAACTGCTAATGTAGACCAGGCTGGTCCAGAGTTCATAGATTCCTCTGGTCACACTGCGTAGCTCTCCATGAACTGGAACTGTTAATGTAGACCAGGCTGGTCCAGAGTTCATGGATTCCTCTGGTCACACTGTGTAGCTCTCCATGACCTGGAACTGTTAATGTAGACCAGGCTGGTCCAGAGTTCATGGATTCCTCTGGTCACACTGCGTAGCTCTCCATGACCTGGAACTGCTAATGTAGACCAGGCTGGTCCAGAGTTCATAGATCCGCCTGTTTCTGCTTCTCGAGTGCTGGGATCAGAGCCGTGCACCACCATGCCCAGAAGAAAACCTCTTTCATTCACATCAGCACTTTTGATTGAGGTTTATCGTCTCCCACCCCACGCCTAGTCCTTCTCACCACAGAGAAGCTATAATCAGAGGTTTCGGGTGGAGGAACTTACCAGATGAAATCTCGGCAGTGGGAGCAGTAGGTGGGCTGCCGAAGGTAGGTGGCCATGAACTTGTGGCCATTGACCTGATGGACCCTGCGTCTGACAGCCCCTTGCCGCTTCCTTGGCCGCATACGCTCCCTGAACACTCGTTCTTCATTGTCTTTAGGGGCTGCAGAAAGACACAAGCAGAAAGGAGACCACGTGGGTTAGTGCACCTCAACACTGACCTTCAGGTAGGGGTGAGTTGGGTGGGAGGCAGAAGGGCTGAGGGTTCTGAGGCGTTTCAGTGCTTAGCTGGAAGAAGTGAACATCCGGGGGGCTGGGGGGACAGATCTGTACATCTTCTCATGTCTGCCTGCATCCTCAGAGTCCGTCCCAATCCAGACTCTTTTCCCATCTGTCCCATTCCTTTGACCCCCATGCCCTCTTTGCCCAAAAAACACATTTTGAGGATCAAGGGGGTCAAAGTGTTTCATGTTCAAATCTTAGCAAACTTTCAGGTGGTTGTGAACTTGGACAGATAAGAGTCAGATCTATTGCCACAGGTCTCTGCAGGCACCTCTTTCAATAAATGGGGCCACACCGCTGAGCACATGGGGTGGATGGAAGGCTGGTGCTGGGAAGCCCTAGTCACTGCCTGGCTCTGAGTCATAGCTGTCTAATAAACCTAACTTGTTCCTTCTCCCTCATCCTCAGATGAGACCAATCGCTCCTTCTCAAAGGCCAAAAGGAGGAGTAACACTGTGAAAGCAGAGGGCTTCTCCAAAGCTCAGGAGCACCAACAGAAGAGCATCTAGTTGGGCCACTGAAGACAGAGGAGAGAAATGATCATCCTGGAGAACAACACCCAGGTGTGCTGAGGGAGCTGCAGCACCCAGGCGACCCTGGCTGCTGCTTACTGGGAGCCTGTTTTAAGACTCCCAGGCTGCAGAACTAACACATCCCTAGATGATGAAGATGGAGGTCTGCCTGTCACACTTCTACCTCCTGCTCTTCAACTTCCCTGGGATTCCTTGCTAACTAGTGACTATTGCTTCAAAATGTCCCCGATGACACCAACTCCCTCCTGAGTATAGAGAGACTGTCATTTCCCACCCTGCCACATGCAGGATCCTTAGCCCACTGACCAAATCTCACAGCAACAACCCTGGTGACTTAACACAGAGATCTCTGTGCACATGTGCATGCATGAGCATGTACACACATGTGCATGCATAGTCACAGTGTACATGTGGAGATCAGAGGGTAACTTTCAGGAGTTGGTTCTCTCCTTCCACCACACGGGGCCTGGGGCTAGAACTCTTGGCATCAGGCTCCTTTACTCATGGAGGCATCTCACTAGCCCCGAGCATCCCTTAGTTTTTTATAAGAAGAAAGGAAATAACTAAAAATCCAATCTATGTGGCAGGGATTACTTGTTACAAACCTGATCTACATAACCTAACCCCACTCCTGCATCACAGGATGGAGACTATTTCTACTAAAACAAAACAAACAACAAAACAAACAACCCACAACTCTTCCCTTTCATAAAACTGGCCCCAGAATACACTAAAGTCGTAAAATCAGCTCCTAATACATTTAAGATGCAACCAGATTTGCAAGTCTGCAGTTGTTTGCATCCAGGAGAACTCGGTTTTTCAGTTAAAATGGTGAGAAGTCCAATCTCATTTTCTCAAAGAAACTCCCCTAACTGTGACAGACTATCCCTGCGAGCTTTACCACTCAGCTTCCGGCAGGGATGATCGGTAGTTCGACCAAATGTCCCAAACTGTGTTTGCTCTGATTCAGAGGGGGCAAGATGGCAACCAACGAAGTCAATTGTGTTTATTTTCAGATACCCCCTGGGAGGGGTCATGGATGCTGGTAGGATGTTATAGTCATGCAGAGACACCTCCCTTCTACTTAACCTGCAGGTCAGGATGACAGCCAAGGGTCACCCCTGAACACTGGGGTCTGTCTGAATGGAACTTGCTCAAATATTTCTATTACTTCAGCCTCTGAGCACATCTGCCTTGCCTTTTAAGCTAGGTTTTATGTCAATGCATGGGGAGATAACAGGCCTGGGAGGCTCATGCCTGTAATCCTACCACCCAGGAGGCTGAGGCAAGAGATTGATATAAGTCCAAGGCCAGCCTGGGCTACAAAGTGAGACCCTGTTCAACCTGGAGTACCTGTAGAAATCAGGAAACTAGAAAGATGCCGTTGCAGATGGGGGATGCCCTCCGGGAGGAGGGTCGGTAGAACATGGGCTATATTAAAGCAAAGGGGGCAAAGTGAGGGGAGAAGCTTAAGCTGAGAGTCAAGTGTGAGGGTGGGGGCCAGGGAAGAGGGTCCAAGAGTTAACCAGCATGAAGGATGTACGACAAAGCCATGTGAAAACCTACTATTCTGTAAGCCAATTAAAAAAGTTGACACTAGGGGTGGGGGGCATGTGTTATGAATGGCTAAACAAGGCGCTTCCTAAAACTACGGGTTATTAAACAAAAATTCCAGTATCAGAGAGTTTATGAGTTCAAGAGTTGTTGGTCTGGGAGGTCAGAGGCTGTGGCTTTTCTTCTTGGTTGCTCATGTGTTGATAGGACTCTCTGGCTGAAGACATTGTATACCTTCCTTGCAAGATATCAAGCTAGAGCCAAGCTGGAGGCTTCCTCCTAGAACTAAGCTGATGGCTAACTTTTGTGTTGTCTGAAGTAGTAAGGAAATCCCCCCAAAACCTTAAAAAGAGAACTGCTGGATGACCCAGCACCCCCAGCTCTGGATCTACACCCCGGAGAACTGAAGTCAGGATTTTGAAGCGATGTCTGCTATCCCAGGTTTGCTGTAGAACTGCCTACAATAGCCAAGACTCAGGCTTGACCTACATGTCCATTGATTGAGCAACTGAAGAGTCATGTGGTAAATACATGAACATAGCTTGATCACGTCACACAGAGAAGGAAACACTGTCAGTGGCATGCTCAGCCTTAGATGGGACATCTGTATTACTCTCCCCTCAAAGCTCAGTGAGCCATTGCAGAAGAAGGGACAGAAAGACTACTGTAAGAGCCCGAGGTTGGGGATAACAAGAGACAACAGTGTCTTCTGGGCATGACAGAACTGTGGCACTCAAACTCAGGGCAGCTGTGGTTGTTTGCATCAGAGCTGCACAAGATCAAGCCACTACATATTCTAGCATGGAGAAGGAAGAGGGCAAAGAGCCCTTACTCCTAGCTTTAGATCTATGGACAGTTGATGGTTTCTGGGGGAGTGGTGCAGTTTTATTTGAGGGTGTGGACCTGGTAGGTTAACCATACTCCAGTGGATGGCCTCACACTCAGAAGTATATGGACAGCATAAATTGGACTTGATGAGCTATTAAAACAAAACAGAGAACACAAAATTGGGGGTGTCGGTGAGGAGGGGGTAGATCTGGAAGAAGTTAAGGGGGAGGGGGAGGAGTGAATATGACCAAAATGCATTATATGAAATTTCTAAGGAATTAATACAAATATAGAAAACATGAGGGAAAGCTTTTTAGCATTTGATCTGGGCAGCGATTTCTTGGCTATGACACCAAAAAGCCAACAAGAGAAAAAAATAGACAATTGGGGCTATATGATACTAGAAAACCTCACAGAAAAAGAAACCATCAGCTGAATGAAAAGGTAACCTGCAGAACAGGGAAAAAAATAACCACAAAATACAGACCTGATAAACTACGAATGTCCAAATTCTAGAAGGAACGCCTACAACTCAGTAGCAAAAGCCAAATAACTCAGTCTAAAACCAGGCAGGGGAACTGCACAAACTGTTCCCCAAAGAAGTCATACAACTGCCCAGTAGCTATACAAAATAAGAAATCTATTATCACCAAATATCAGAGCCATGCATGTTAAAACCACAGTTATATAAGATGGTTACAAACAAACAAACAAATTAAAAAATTCCCAATCAATAGTGTTGGCAAGGTCACAGAAGAAGGAAAAGAAACTCTCTGCACTCCTGGTAGGGCTCTAAATTGGGGCAGCAACTACAGAAAACAGTAAGGAAATTCCTCCAGAACTTGAAAACAACTGCTGGCTGACCCAGTACCCCCAGCTCTGGATCTACACCCCAGAGAACTGAAATCAGGATTTGGAAGCAATGTCTGCTCTCTCAGGTTTGATGTAAGCATTGTCTGTAATAGCCAAGACAAGATGCAACCTACATGTCCACTGATGATTGAGCAGCTATGGATAAATGTGGTAAACCCATAAAGGCAAGTTTATAGGATCATGCAGAGAAGGAAACTTTGCCATTCGAGACAAAAGGCACAGAGGAGACCACGCTAAGTGAAACAAGCCAATCACAGAACACATACTCCATGACACCACAAACACAAGGGCTCATCAGTAGTCAAACTTAGAGAATCAGAGAGTAGAAATGGGGGTTTCCTGAGCCTGGAAGGAAGCAGAATCAGAGCGGTTCTAGTGCTACCAAGGTTCAAGGCATGTTAAGTTCTCGATGTCTGCTCAACAGCACGGTCCTCTTGTTCACAATATTGTATTATATACGGAAACACTTGCCAAGAGTGTGGATCTTATATTAAGGGTTATCACAAAAATAAATAAAAAATAAACTATAGCTCCCATGGTAGAGGTGGTGCTATTGTGTATCAATTTTCTCTGAGAGAAACCTTCTATTTGGAAGGGAAGCCCATTGAGATGCAGGATGTTTAGCCAGATGTGTTTGCCCATTCACTTAGGAGGCTGAGGCAGGAGGATCTTTATGAGTTCAAGGCCAGCCTGGTCTATATAGCTAAACAATGAACTTCTGACAAGCCAAGGCTACATAGTGAGATATTCTCTCTCTCTCTCTCTCTCTCTCTCTCTCTCTCTCTCTCTCTCTCTCTCTCTCTCTCACACACACACACACACACACACACACACACACACACACACACACCATGCAGGATGTTCTAAGGGGAGGTGAAACATTCCATCCTGCAGGGAAGCTTGTTAAGGAAATAAACAATTCAAAAGCTTCAGAAAGTTCCTGAAACTGAGCAAATACACTAAGGTCATCCTTCCCCAAGCTTATGGAAGTGAGAGATGTCTTCATACCAGACCAGCTGCCTGAAAGGATTTTCAGACCAACTGAGCTGCCTGCAAAAGGCACTCTCTAACTTCCCAGGCTGCCTGTAAGTTA